GGATGGATTTTGTTTTCGTATCCATTTTGTTTGCCTGTGTCTTTTTATAGGTGAATTGAGACCATTGATTATTAATAGATATTAATGACCAGTTATTGCTAAATCCTGTTAGTTTTTGGTGGTAGTGTTGTATGTTTCTTTTCTTTGGTATTTGTTGGTGTGGCACTATCTATTGCCTGTGTTTTTATCAGTGTATCTAACTTCCTTAGTTGGATTTTTCCTTCAAGTGAGGTGTATAGGGCTGTATTTGTGGATAGATATTGTTTAAATCTGGTTTTATCATGGAATATTTTGTTTACTCCATCTATGTTGATTGAGAGTTTTGCTGGGTATAATAGTCTGGGTTGGCATCCATAGTCTCTTAGTGTCTGCATAACGTCTGTCCAGGACCTTCTGGCTTTCCTCTATCGTATCTTCAATGTCAGAGATCCGCTCTTCTGTATCTTGCAATCTGTTGGTTATGCTTGCATCTGTAGTTCCTGTTCATTTACTCCGATTTTTCCACTTCCAGCATTCCCTCAGTTTCTGTCTTCTTTGTTGTATCGATTTCAGTTTTCAAATCTTAAACTGTTTCCTCACTTGTTTAATTGCTCTCTCTTGGCTTTCTTTAAGGGATTTACTGATTTCTTCCATTGTTTAGTTTGACTTTTCCTCCACTTCTTCAAGGGAAATTTTCATTTCCTGTTTAAAGATCTCTATCATCTTCAAGGTCATTTTAAAAGTCAATTTCTTCTATTTCTTCTGTGTTGGGATATTCAGGTCTTGCAGGTGTAGGTTCTGATGGAGCCATATTGGTTTTTTGTTGTTGACTGTATTTATGTACTGGCGCCTACCCATCTCTTTCTCCACGTGGTGCAAGTGGTGTCTGTGTCTGAGGGAGGCTCTCTTGGTTTGATTGATACTCTTTGTCCAGTGGGAGCTCTTGGTCTAGTCGGTGCTGATGGACACTTTGTCTGAGGGAGCAGATCTTAGTCCAAATAGCACTTGTGTGTTCTCTTAGTCCAATTAGGTGCTGGCGGGCTCTGTCCTAAATACATATTTAAAAACACAATATGTATAATGTGTAGTATTATAATATTATAATATTTATAATTGTGTATATTATAATATATGCTACTTATAATATTATGATGTATGATTCCACTAGTAATTATAATATTATGTTGCATAATTTCATTTAGACTTAGAATATATTATACTATATAACATAATCATATTTTCAATAATCACAACTCTGCAGAAAGTATAATACATTACACTATACACACATTCTCATAAGCATTTGCATGGTACATTTCCATACATGCTTATACTGTACTTGATCACATTCCCCTGCACTACGTCAGTTCCCGACCATATCTTTGTGACTGATACTGTGACTTTTACACAAGGCTAGTCCTCTCCTTCCTCATGACCAGGAGAGACAGGGTAGATCCTGTTTCTGTTTGTGGAGCTGCTTTGTCTCCCGTAGAACTCTATCTAGTTTAGCTACTTTCCTTAAAACACAACAGTTCCCTGATCACGTTGTTGAGTGTGGATTCTTCATCATTGTTCATCAAGGAGAGGAGCTCACACTTGCCCCATTCCTTGAGCTTACTTGGTGGTGGGATCAGGCTAACACTGGCACAGAGATATGTTTAAAAGCCTTTGCTTTCTCTTTTGTGAAGTATTTTCTATAACTCTGGTCTTCATTGTTCTGCAAAGCTTTGAATGATTCAGGGAATCCATGAGATCTGGGCTCTGCCTTGTTTGGAGCTGTTTTTGTTGCAAATCCAAACTTGTTGCTTATGACTTTAGTGTTTAAGAGTTTTTCTTTTATCTTTATTCAATATTCACACATGTCTTAGTATTCCTTTCATATTATCTAATTTCTTGGGGTATAAAAACTGTAACATCCCTGAAAGGCCCTCTGGACTGTAGTTGTATCAGTTAAAACATCAACTTTTCTATAGTGTAATTTGTATCTGATCTCTCTGGATCAGCTTTGTTGAGGGGTTTGCATTGTGGCACAACCTTGCAGAGAAGCATCTCATTCTTTCAAGGATCTCGGGATTTTCCATTGCATGCCGACTTTACTTATACCAATTCTCATCTTTGCTGGAATTCCTTAACCACTGCTTTGGATTTGGGTTCTTCTAGTGTTTTTATATCCTTGAAGAGCATCATTACATTGCTGGGGATGTCTCAGATTTCATGACAGAAAATTCATGACAGAGAATTCCAAGCTATAACCTTCCCTCCTTAAACTGCATTCATTTTTTTTATCTTCTAGTATTCTGTGGGTCTGAAATTTCCCACAAGATAAAGTGATTGAAATTGAGAAGAACACCATGGGCAGCCACATGGAAGAGAACATTCTGGAAAAGGATTTCAGGATGTTAATATCTCTAGGGTGTGGTGCATTTGGGGAGGTGAAGCTGGCCTGCCACCTTCCCACACATACACGAGTGGCTATCAAGGTCCTTGAGAAAAACACCAACAGTGTGGCTGACATCAGCACTGAAGTGAACATACTTCAGTCATTAGAACATAGGAACATCGTTCGATTTTTTCACATGATCGACACATTGACAACCACTTATCTGATTATGGAGTATGTGGCAGGAGAAGATCTGGAGAGCTGCCTCCAGGCACTGGGCTGTCTAAAGGAGGAGGAGGCTAGAGGGATTTTCCGGCAGGTGGTGTCAGCGGTTCACTTCCTCCACCAGAGACACATCGCACACCGTGATATCAAATTAGAAAACATCCTAGTCGATGCAGCAGGAAATGCAAAGCTTTGTGACTTTGGTATGGCAATTGAAATCACAGAGGGGCAGATGTTGGAAGAGATCTGTGGCTCCTTACTCTACTGGGCCCCAGAGATCTTGGCAAGAAAGCCCTATGATGGACTGGCAGGTGATATGTGGAGCTTGGGTATCCTCCTATATGTCCTGGTCACAGGGCACTTTCCATACATGGAAGAAACCCTTGAAGGGATGCACAGGGTCATCACCACCACAATGTGTCCCATTCCCTACCATCTGTCCAAACCTTGTTATTTCATCATTGCCCGACTACTCATGGTCACCACCTGGTACCGATTCACAATCTCTCAGCTTGTGGAACGACCATGGCTGGGCCCCATTCAACAACATGTACTGCCTGCCACCAAAGAAATCCTGCCCAGGGTGGTGGAGACCATGTGCACCATTGGCTATACCTGTGAGGAGATTGTGTCATCCCTAACTCACAGGCGAGAAGATAATCATGTAACGGCCACATGCAACATTCTCAAACACCTACTGAGCTGTGGGGACAGCCATCAGCAAGATCAGATGCACTGGCTAACAAGCAACTCTGCAGGTCCTGTTCACCTCCCTCTTCCCATGACCAGGAGAGCCAGTGAACCAGCATTTACAACCAGAACACAAGCTGGGAAGAGTCACTTTAATGAGAATGGTGTGGAAGAAAGAGGCGAAACATGCAGAAGCCACAGCATGCCTCACAGATCCTCCTTCCTGGAGGTGCTGTCCTCTTCAGACAACACAGTCCCAGAAAGAGATGCTCTTGTGGCTGACGTCATCAACACTGCTGCAGAGGACATTGCAGTCAACAGGAATTCTGTTGACCCCCTGCCTGGCAATCTCTCCTCCCCTGAATCAGTCTTGGATGCAACACCAACAGGATTTCTGAACCTGGGCTTCTCTGAAGAAGATTCGTCCCAGAAGCCAGATATTCCCAGTGACCAACCCCATGTGGCACCCACGACATCTGGATCCAGGCCATTCAGGGTCTGGAAACTGATAAGGAAGGGAATTTCCCATGCACTTAGAGCACTCTGCTGCTGCTGCTGCTGCTGCTGCCTGCCCACCCCAAGGTAAACCCTGAACCCTTGCATCAGGGGGTTCAAGGAAAAGAGGGACAGGGGAGACCTACATGGAAAACAGTTGGGTGGGCCACACAGATCAATTCATACATTGTATTTTCAATATGACACTTCAATATCCTTTTTAAATGAAAAGTTGTACCCACTCAGAGGGCACAGCAATTCAGACATGTGGTACATTAAATGGCATGTTGCACAGCATCCTGTTCATGTAAAGTCCTGGAAGGTTGAGGCAAAAGCAGAGAGCACAGCATGGGGACCACAGGGTGGGAAGGAAGGGAGGAGAGTTTGTCCAAAGGGGCAAAGGTTCAGAATGGAGGATTAAGGATGAGAAATATGGCACAGAACTTTTATCTGCCCAAGTCATTAATACAGGTGCTTGCATGTTTATTTTTGCTTTGAAGTGAGGAAAATGAAATGGTCCAATAGAATTCCAGCCCTGGTGAGGAGTCACAGAAGGGACCCAAGACAGATCGCCAGAGCGCCAGCTCCCTCCAACACTTGGCAACCGGCTCCTGCATGGATCCTTCAGCTATTGGGTCTAAGCTGCCACTTTATAACTCCTCCAGCTTACTTTAGCTCCAGCACTATTGTTGGATGAAGAGGTGGTTGGAAGGCAGTTTACCCAGTGACTCCTTACCTTCCCAGCTTTGGTTGTGCTTGTAGGACCACTCACACTGCATGGAAAACAGCAGCCTCTACCACCAGGAAATGACTTCATACCTGCTCATCCTCTTGGTCACTTTAACCCTCCAACTTCTTCTCTGGCTGCCTTTTGAAAAGAACAGCAAGACCTGTGTAAGTCCTGGAGAGTGGAGATGGGTGAAGGAGATAAAGGCGACTAATTAGGAAGCACGATGGAGAACAGTAGAGGGGAAATGAGAGGTGATATAGACTAAGGAATAGAGTCTGTACTGAGGAACTTCTTGTCAACAAAGGAACATGAAGGAGATGTGTGTGTTTCTCTGTGACAGGGGCCATGGACAAGCTAGAGCAGGAAGAAACCTCCCCTGAAGTGCAGAGTGGGAGAAAGCTAGAAAGAGCCAGCAATGAGGAGGAGAGGGCCTGCACTGATGGTTCCTAGAATGTGTCAAGGCCCACAAATAGGATGCTGTCTTGGAAATAGCATCCTGTTCTTTCCTACAGATCTGAGGTGCACCAGGAGAAAGATGCAGGACTATTGGTCAGTGGAGTTCCATCCTCGTCAGTGCTGAGTAAGTCCTGTCTGTTAAAGTCACAAAGATAGGCACTTTCTTTATTCTTTCGGGTTTTATTTGAGAAAGCGAAATGGCCTATTTGAACAACAGTCTTGGTGTGGTTTAGTTCAACAGGAAGGATCCAGGCTGGAAATCTGTGTCCTGTGTGATGATAAGTTAGGGCTACAGGTTCCAGTATCCATCCTCCAGGTTAGGGTCTCAGCTGCCATCTTCCCCATCCTTCCCCTCACTGCTGCCCCTGCACTGTTGTTGAACATCTCTAAGTGGTCACGTGTAGCATCAACCCAATGAATGTCTACATCACTCATGGTTCCTGTGGGACCAGGGTTCCATGGCATCTAACAGGGCTGCCTCTGTCAACAGGACACACTGGCACACAGGTCTCAGGCTTCCCTCATCTTTGATCTCTTCATCACCTCCAAACTGCTTTCTGACTGTCTTTTAGAAGAACTACAGCAACTGTAAATCCACTGGGAGACGGGAGGATGGAGATAAGGGGAGGGACAGGGGAAAGGAGGTGGAGAGGATGAAGAGGAAATGAGAGGACCGGTGGAGAGGGTCAGAATGTGTCCAGAGGAGCTTACCTGAAATGAGTCAGGAGAAAAGGATGTTGTCCTGGGTAGGGGTCTTGAGGAAGTGAGACCAGGAACAAATGTCTCAAGCAGAGCAGAGTGAGACTCTGGTTTACTCTGGCATTCTGTTGTCAGCCATGAGGAGGGAAGGCCCTGTGCTGATCACTCTGAGCACAAGTCAAGGTAGAGAACTATGAGGCTGCTTTGGAAAGGGATTGCCATTCTGGGTTTCTGATGAAGGGTGTGGTTAGAGAGAAGGGTGGCTCCAACATTCAGTGGGGCCCTCTACTGGTCTTGTCCATCATGGCCTTTGGCAGATCTTATGACATCTGTGTCTTTGTCCTTATAGGCTCCTTTATCCAGGCTTCCCATGTTGCCTCCCACCTCCTGATTCAGAATCTTGCATCATTTACCCATGTCATGGAGAGATTTGTACCTGATATTTGATCTACATTACTATTGTTCTGCTCCACCATAGGTAGGTATGTAGGCATTGCCAGGCCTGATGCTGAGTATTGCCTCTTCAAGGCCAGCATCCATGTGACTGCTTCATGACCAATGCCCACTGTTGGGGTCAGGCTTAAAGTAAACCTTGATCATCACCAGGAGCTCTAATGACAGCCTCTGGTGCAGAGTGAAGCAATGGTCAGTGTAGGGTCTGAAGTGGATTCCAGGACACCTTACAAATAGAAAGCAACTCACTGACTTGACAAGAGGAAATGAACTCAACAGGGACTCCAGGATACTAATCTGTGTGAATCATGCACGTGAAGGTAAGACTGATTACAGTAAGTATCTGTTTGTGGTAGAAGATGAGTCTCTGAAGCCTGGCCTTGATGTGGTGAAATGATCCCATGGAGTACCCTGTGCCAGCAGCCTGACACAGAGGGAAATTTATCATTGATTTGCTCAACTGAAGAGCAATGGGAGACTGAGAGACTGCAGAGGTTTGACAAGGGAGGAACCAGCTTCTCTACTGTGGTTGGCCTCCAGCTCCACTCTGATCATCTGATCCTGGCCTGTTAGCAAAGCCTGATGAATATTAAAGGCTTTGTGGAGATCTTCCCAGAAGGATGATGGCCAGCTTGTTCTGTCACTTACTTCTAGATCCCTGACTAAATCTGTGTTCTGACTAGGCTGGAAATCTGTGTCCTGTGTGATGATATGTTAGCGCTACAGGTTCCAGTATGCCATGTGCACACAAGAAGACCCAGTCAGCTTGATTAGAGAGAGGGAGAGAGAATGTTTTTCAGTTTGTGGGTATCACCTGGTGTCAGACTATGTTTCTGTGACCAATCAGTGAAGGAAGATTTTAAGACTTGATTGAGGAGTCTGTTGAATTCTAGAAATGATATATGGAAATTTCCTGAATACTCATTTGGTGTTTTACTTTTTTTGAGGTTGGTTCTCACTCTATAGCCCTGGCTATCCTGAGAATCTCTGTGTAGAACATGCAGCTCTCAAACTCACAGTGATGGACCCCCTTCTCTGCCTCCTCAGAGCAGCGTTTACGGATGTGGACTCCCATGCCTGGCTTCAAGTACTGGACAGCATCAAATGTAAATTCCTCCAAACATTTGAGGCAGAAGAAGACAATTCTGTGCTTCTTTCATCCTGACAGGGTCAGGAATTGAACTGAAGGTTCTGTCATCCAGGATGGACTACAAACATCAGCAGAGTCCAAATCTAACCTTCAGGATAGAAGTCTATGTCCACCAGTGAACAGATACCTGGAGGTGAGAACTGCTGTCGTGTATTCTTCTGGGGACCCTAGTCAGTGGGCTTGGGAAGGTATGCCCTAGCTGACACATCCTTGGAAACAAGGCACAGAGAATGCAAAGGCTACTTTCTAACCCTTTTCTCAGGATCCCCACCTGCAGTCCAGGCACAAATCCCATGACTTCAACCTGACCAATCAGGAGAGTTCAGATTGGCTACCTGGTCTGATGGATTGAGTTCTTTCCATTTGAGCCATGAGATCACAGCTGAGGACTCAAGGTGGGTCACTGAGACAGCTGGTGCCTGTCTTGGGATGTTGAAGGTAGGTCTTTCACTTTAAGGACACCAGTGGCAGAGGCAGTGCATGCAGCCACATATTCTACATTGGAGCTTCCAGATTCTGTCTGCTTGTCTGATGATTGCCCTGGCTCCTCTTGCTCATGGTTCCCACATAGCTTCAGTTACTTGTCAAAATCACTTTGGGTTGGCTTTGAGGTCACTGAAAATTGTTGATATTCCTTGGCTAATGGAGAGTCCAGGGCTGCAGGTTTCTGTATACTGAACCAAGTAGGACTATGTGCAGCCCATCCTGAACATTCTGTGATGGTAGAGGTGATCAACCCACCCCAAGAACATTGTGTAACATCCCAGGAAGACCACTAACCAATTCCATGTTCTTAGTGTTCTGTTGTTCTTGTTCTGGCCCCTACAAACGTCCAGATTTTCATATGAAAGAAGAAAGTGATCTTTGTTCTTTGGGACATGTCTGTCACACATAACACAGTCATTCTCTGTTGTATCTGTTTTCTGAAAAATGTCTTAATTTCATTCTTGAGGGTGAGTATGAGCTCTTGAACTGTATGCTTTTCATGTATTTATTTATTTATTTATTTATTTATTTATTTATTTATTTATTTATTTATTTTCCTGTTGATTCATTCAGTTAGTTATTCATTTATGTATTCATTCTATGTGTCTTTATATCAGGTATCTTGACCACATTCATGTCCCTATCACTTCACATCCTCTCTCCATCCCTACACCTGCCCCAATAAAAGAAAATTTAAGAGGAAAAAAGAAAAATAATATATTTTGTTTTAGAACAAGTTTCTCTGTGTAGATTTGTGCCTTAACTGGAACTCACTGTGTAGCTCAGACTGTCCTGGAACTCACAGAGATCTGCCTGACTCTGCCTCACAAGTGGGAATAAAGATGTGTGCCACCATCGCCTGGAAATAAGACAAAATTAAAATAGGAAGATATAAAGATTTCCTCATGGAGGCAGTCGATTGGCTTGATCTGTTTGGGAGGCTTCTAGGCAGTGGTACCAGGTCCTGGGCTCGTTGCATGAGTTAGCTGTTTGAAACCTGAGACTTATGCAGGGACGCTTGGCTCAATATGGGAGGAGGGGAATGGACCTGCCTGGACTAAGTCTATCAGGTTGATCCCAGTCCTCGGGGGAAACCTTGATCTGGAGG